TAAAACACAAATAAAAAAAATTATTTTTCTTTTTCTTTCTCATTCTTTTATTTCCTTTTCAAATTCGAAAACATAATATAAAAGTTTAAAATGGTGTTAATCTTCCAAATTCGAAACATAATATAAAAGTTTAAAATGGTGTTAATCTTNAAACATAATATAAAAGTTTAAAATGGTGTTAATCTTCCAAATTCGAAACATAATATAAAAGTTTAAAATGGTGTTAATCTTTTCAAATTCAAAAACATAATATAAAAGTTTAAAATGATGTTAAAAAACATTAACATGAGATGACATGGAAAACCAACCTATTTGCATTGATTTACATAGCGTCACTCGGAAATCAAAAGAATCAACTTTGTGATCCCAAATGATGTCATTCTATGTACCAAAAGTATATCATAGAATGTTTTTGATGATGAAACAAATTACCGATACTACATAAAAATGTTCCGTTAGATAATATTAATTTAGAAATGAGTATTGATTGATTTTGTGTCCAGGAATACTCGGAAAAACGGTTTTATATGAATTCAATGTTATTTCTGATGATAAAAATAATATATTGAAAAAATATCGTACTTATAAAGAGCCCCTTTTTACATCTCGCCCAGGGCCTAAAAAATATCAGGAACGGGCCTGTGGATAACGATGGCGTAGTACTATTGTCACTAGTCGCTACCGTTGAAACCTTTTTGGGTACAACATTGTGGTTAGTTGGCTGCATATAATAAGTATGATGTGGAAGTCTGGAAGATATCTAACGAGCCTTTTCTTTAGTAAATGTTTCTGTAGTTAATCAAGTTGTCACTCAGTTGCCTCTTGCACCGACTACAACGATTCTTAGGGGCCGTTTACCAAATGCTTACTCGGGTAAGCGCTTATCAAGTCATATTTCCTTACCGGATGAATATGACAAGTACCAAAAATCTTACCTGGTAAGAGCGAATGCACGAATCGAGAGTCTAACCCTGTAAGTGATGACGATGACTCTTACCACGGTTAGCGCTTACCGGGTAAATTATTACATACTATGTCGTTTGGTAGACTAAAATCTTACCCAATAAACAAGAGATAAAGTTGAATGCTACCGTTAAGCGCTTACCGGGTAAGTGTTTAGGTAAACGTCCCCTTATAAAGATATAAAATTATTTCCGTCAAAATTGACATTATTTCATTCAATTAGATATGTCTATTCTAATTCCCCTAAAACTAGAGATGTTTCTTTAAAAAGATTTCCAACAAGGTATTCAATTTCTTCTACTCGAGAAGTATATATTTCATTTGTATACGACCTTGAACACATAAATAGATCAACAAATCAATTACGAGTTTACGACCAATGATTATGAGTCAGTCCGTGTAATGATTATGACCTAGTCTCTGTGTATTATCCACAACTACAACCATTTCCTGTAGTTGACCAAGGATCTTTTTAACAAATTTTTCATTCATCCAATACTGATAAAAAGATTTTTAGACCTCAAAATGATGGTATCTTTATTAAACATCCACCATAGATATCTAATAATGCAGTTACAAGGGTTGTACAGCAATCGATAAAGATTGTTTACATGATGTTACGAGTGAAGTGACTCCTTGAATTGACCTCATCCCATTTTTCTATTAAGCCATATGTATAGGGGTGGGTTCATTTACAAATCCATTTCCTGTTGTGAATCAGGAGACGTTAAAGGAGAGCATGACATGTGTCTCACACCTTCACGGGTTATTCATCATGTATAATCCATGATGAATAGTTCATGAACGTTTAGCTTTGTTATTCATACTGAACATGGACACCGAGAACACGTGTTACGCTCTACTTTGTCCCCCGGTTTATAATTGAAAATCGGTTTGCAATTAAACTTATATATATATATATATATATATATATATATGAAAGTGTAGAGTGTTGTAAGACTTAAATTTGATTATGGGAAATAAATAAAAGAAAGGGTAGCTGCCTGTTTGTAGCGATCAAGAAGGTGAGGGGTTGCACGTGAAATCCCTGTGACTGGTGTGCCTCTTGTCTCTCCCATACTCCACATTTATATTTATTTACATTTTCTTAACATTATTACAATCTCCTTTCATTTTTTTATTTACTAAAAATTAATTTTTTAATATCAAAATGTAGCATAAAAGTTTATGTGTCTAAAATAAAAAAATTAAGAGATATCAAGTAATTAAACAACTAATTTTAAGAATACTAGAAAGTTAATCGTGCAATGCAGCGAGATACATCTTGATTTTAATATTTTATTTTATTTTTTATCTCAGTCGATATTATAATATGGTCTTATGTGATTTTTAAAAAAACAATGATGTTTTTATTTTTTTAATAAAATATAAATTTGAAAGATATCATAAAAATTTGACAAAAATATATCGATATTAGTATTAAATTAACTATTTAAAATTTCTCATTTTTTGTGTAATTTTTAATTCAATTTTTATTATAATAATTTAATTTAGGTTCAATAACGAAATAATTTATATTTGGTTTAATAATATAATTTTCTTATAAAGATAATAGTTAATTATTTTGTTAAAACTCGATTATTATCCTAATTCTATTTTAGATTTTTTAGATTTAAAAATGAGTTGTTTATCCTCTATTTGATATGTTTATCCGCAATTAATTACACGAATTCAAATATGGAGCTTTAATAAGTTGTACTTGTGCATAATTTACTTGTAATCTTGAATTTTAAGTAATATGCATCAATATACGGTACTTCATGCATAAAAAATTGTTTTTAAAAGTTTTTGTCAAATGCTTAATAATATAGTATAGATAATAAGTTGTACTTGTGTATAATTTACTTGTAATCTTGATTTTTTAGGTAATATGCATTAATATACGGTACTTCATGCATAAAAAATTGTTTTTAAGAGTTTTTGTCAAATGCTTTATAATAGAGTATTGATAATAAGCTGTACTTGTGTATAATTTACTTGTAATCTTGAATTTTTAAGTAATATGCATCAATATACGATACTTTATGCATGAAAATTGGTTTTTAAAAGTTTTTGTTAAATATTTTATAATATAGTATAGATAAAGTGTAATTTAGAATTTGAAAATGATTAGTTCGACCGTGTTGAATTTATGGGTAACAGAGAATAGATAGGAAGAGGAGGAATGAATTCATATATACGCGGATTATGTTTAGTAACCTCTAACATAATTAATATTGGAATTGTTACGTTTTAATTTTATTTAAAGATTTTAATTATAAATACTTTATTTTAAAAAATTATAGCGTCCATTTTTGTTAAAAAAAATACAATAACAAAATTATTATCAATTTATATATCTTTTAATTCATCGCATCTCTAAAGATATTTAATTGTTTATCATAAAATAGATTTCTTTGGGAGCAAATAATGGGTTCCAAATACTGTTTTCACGTGAACGTGTTGTTTACTATCGCTATTATATTTTAATTAATAAATATATTTTTATTTTAAAATCCAAATATTTAATTTCTCAAAACTAAAGAGCCGTCTACGTGAACGTTTGGTAAGCGCTTACTGATAAAAATTAGTACTCTTGTTTACCTTGCCGAGTAAGATTCTAATATATCAAAACGGTATTGTATGTAACAATTTTCTCGGTAAGCACTAACTGAGTAAAATTCACCACCCATATTTACCTGATAAGACTTCGATCTTTGGCATTACTCTTATCGGGTAAAATTCTCGGTTTTTGTCATATTTATCCGGTAAGGTAAATGACTCAATAAGTACTTATCGAGTAAGCATTTGGTAAAATTAACACAACTGTGTTCAATTTCCGTCATGTTCACACATCAACTTTTTGCGCAAATTACCCAAATAGTGCCTTCACATAGGACTTCAAAATTGTGTACCTAAACCGAATGGAGAACCATTTATATAATTTTTCTAAGTTAATCAAACAGTTTCTCCCGTTCTAAAATAAATGTTTATGACGAAGACATGTTAATTAAATTAGCTTAAAAATCGATACAGTTTTCTCGTTCAATTTTATTAATACGCTCCTATAGTATAGAAATATATGTTTAAAATAGACAATTTGAATGGTTGTCGAATAAATTTAATTTAATTTAATATATATTGTTCTTGAAGTCACAGTTGTTGCTCTTAATTTAATGATGCATTTAGTTGTAGGAAGTACCGCACGAATGTTGCCTACAAAATTATGGGTTAATTACAGGTGTGATTACACGTATTGATCACTCATTTAATTAAGTTGTGCTAATCCCAATATTAATGTGTTAACCATGTTATTACATACAAATACACACTCAACGCCAGCTACCAAATGTGATCTTATGCTCACTACGTTGATTCTTCCAAATTTTAGTTGGTTTTATCGTAATAAATATCGAAAACATGTGACGAGATCCAATGCAATATGAAATCAGATGATTGTACATCAGATATGTTATAAGTAAACACGTTTTTTTAAGAAAATATTTGTTTATATTTTTATGTTAATTAAATATTGCGTTGAGATCTTTATATCAAAAAATATTCAAAAATCGAAGATCATTTTTTAAAATAGTAAAAGAATTCAAGATTTCTTGCTATAATTTTTTTCAAAAGACAGTAAATGTATTAAAAAATAAAAGTACAACATTGACTACTACTGCAAGAAGCATAAGCAGAAATAAATGGAACATGACAACTACCAAAAGACAAAACTGAAGCTGTGAAGCATGAACAACAGAAAACGAACCGACAACAAATCAAAAGAACCCAGCTAACCATCTGGATTGCAACACCAATCCATCTAATAACATAATTAAATGAAATTACAAAAAAAAACACGTAAATTTTGGAATTTTCAAATCGGGTCATTTAACAATGTGTTTTGAGGCATACGTTGTTTGGTCATACGTCGTATAATTCGATCTGTGTCAAAAGTTATGATCGTTTGAAATTATTGCGATTTCCTGAACTCTTTTAGAATTCCATATATGTTGGAGATATAATATAACCCCTTTCACTTGATAACAAGTTCCATTCTGAATTGATAACACATATTGTAATTCCCATCTCGTTTAGCAATTAAGTAAATACGACAACACGAATTTACAGATCGATATCCATATGGGCGTATAAACTACGTATTTATATATACATACGTACATACGATCTTATTCATTCCTCTCTCGGGATCCATCTACTCCACCACATGCTCTTCCCTTGTTGGCTAAGCTCGTTCATGCTTTCGTTTAGCGTTTTCAAAATCTTCTTTTGGAACCGAAGGACCGAGGCAAGAGCATTTCTTTGCGGATTCCCCTTCTTACTTGGTCGTATTTCCTACAAGCAAGAAACCCAAAAGCCGGTAAAATAGTCATATGTCAGCTTAATTCCAATCAAACAAAATTGTCAAGTGGGTCCCATTTACAAAAAAAGTGTATTAAAAACGTACTCGGAGTTGCTGAAGCTCTGCTTCTGTGAATCCGCCATCTTTCTTTGTTCCGGATCTAGCCATGAGCTCAACGACCCATCTGGCAGCCTCGCTGTAATCCTGCTGTGTGGCTCGGAAAAACTGGAGCCTGAGATTCTGCATGATGGACAAAGCGAGAAGACCTTCTTTGTCAAAGTACGGATGGGCCAAAGCCGCTTTGGCACTCACTCGTTGTCGTGCTTTGTACCGGACCATAGAAGTCAGGAGTTCCCATCCGATCCCACCATCTAAATCTAACAACTCGAATCCTCTTCGGAGATCGGAGTTTGCACGAGGTTCGACACTTTTTCTCCATGCAATGAGATCATAATCGCATCTCTTTAGCTGACGGTTGAATTGTATGAGACCACTGTCTGAGCGGAATGAAGGGAATGCCTAAAGTATAAAGACACCGTAAATCATTAAATCTTGTTCTAAAAGAAAATAATAATGATCCAAATTGAAAAGCTCGAACTCGCCTACTTAAGGGGTTGCAGCCCACTTAGGCTAACCCAGAGGTCGTAGGTTAGCCTCACATTCCGACCTTAGGGCAAGGTTTCTAATCGTGAAAACATATGGAAGCCCATTAGATCACTCTCCGAAACAGTCATTCAAGAGAGAGGTAAGGCTCCAACATATATCGAGAAGAAATAGTCCAAGTTTAGCCAATGTGGGACTACTCCCCCTCAAACAGAGGCTAGACGGGCACATATTGTCCCCATAGTCTCCACACCCTAAAAGTGTTAAGACCTTGACTCTGATACCATGTAAGAATGTGTAGAACCCCATCAGATTGCTCTTTAAAAGAGCCCTTAAGGATAGAATGGAGTTTCCATCATATATCAGGGGCGGACCTATGAAGGCCCCGCTCAACCAATTTTCGCAAGTATAATGTTTTTGGAGGGTATGAAAGGTGCATACACTAAACTTTTGAGGGTGCTCCAGGATATTAGAAGATTCAGGGTCCGCTACTGACATATATGAAGAGAAAGTGTCGGAGTCTAGCAGGTGAGGAACTCTTAACACTAATGAGAGAAATGTTGAGTTACGTACCATTTGTAGTAATATGAGACCTGTGCTGTAAATGTCAAACCGATCCGGGAGGTTCAGCTGTTCAACAATATTCACAATCAAAATTAATAACCATAGAATCGAAGTAAATAAAACCATGCAGGTACCATCCATGGAGGCTATTGCACCTGCCATAGAACCGGAGAAAGTGCAGCTGCAACGGGAGCTGATGGCGCAGAAGGCGTTTGTGTGCTCATAATATATTGCTCAGGTGCTGCATATCTGAAAATGTTCAATCACCTTCTTCAATTATTTGTGAATATTTAGGCTTCAAGAAAAATCTTTGAACAGTTCCATGAGAAAACTGTTATCATTTTTGTATGTGTAAATGTCCTAATAGACTGTTTTACAAGACTTAGGTTTATAAGACCAAACAATTACGTGTCTTATGTGATAGTGTTACAATACGTTGATAAGACGCTTTTGGACGCCCTAATAAGGTTTTTAGGACAATTTTGAAATAAAATGTCCTATTAGTTTTTTTACATGACATTTTTAAGAAGTGTCCTTGGAACACATTTTTTTTTATAGGACACTTGTTGTCATAACATATACACATTTTTTTTTCAAATAATGTCATAAAAAGACTAATTGGACGCTTTATCCAAAATGTCCTTAAAAATGAACTTATTGAAACTTTTTACATATGATGCACAATTATTTGGTCCTATAACTTAAGTCTTATAAGACAGTACAATATGACATTTAGATATATTTGGCATTCTATAATATCGACTTTGTCGTAGTCATCTTTGTTTCTACGCTAGACACATCATCACATCTTTACTTCTCAAGCCGAGATCCACAAAAACTGAAATCATTTAGTGGTGAAAACAGATTAGATGTAAATCTTTACTACCTTGGATCTAAGAGAAACTCTTTTGGAATGTAATTGATGCCTACTCGCAAATCTGCTGCAGCTCCCAAATCAATGATCTTGAACGTGCGAGACCCTGATTTTGAAACGAGTAAATGCATGCTATTATGAGTAAGATAGCGAATATGGAATGTCAAAATATAAAATGAAATGTCTTGTTCACCTTCGGAGAAAATAACATTTTGTGGTTTGATATCTCGGTGGACAATCCCTGTTGAGTGAAGACCATCTAATGCAAACAAGAGTTGCCTCAGAACAGTTTGAATGATTCTATTCTCTCTTTCCAATCCCTTAGGCAAATCTTGCACCTCTCCCAGAATCATTGATTCAACCTGAATATTTTGGCAGGGAACATGTATTCAAAATGCTAAATTAAGTATTTTACAGAAGTTACGAAGAAAAAGAGTCACCTTGCATCAATCTGTTGCGTAATACAAGAATTCTACGACCATTGTAAGTGTTAAAGAAGATTAACTGGCATTAGAATGCTACGACGGCTGATTCATATTCACCAGTGAATGTTTTCATTTTGTGGGTTTATTCATGTATGAAGAAATATTGCATCCCATTTATTTTGATGCGAGAAGAAATCAATATACAAACACAGATAGATAGAGTATGCAATATCTAAAAACCAAGAATCAATCTTGAGATCAGTTACCAACATTATAGGGGAACTCTTTACTCTGAATCAAATCTGCAAGTGTGGATTCTCCTTCGAAACGCCATATGAGCCAATATTCAGCTCCTTTCTTTGAAGATTTCTAAAAATAGTCAAAACCAGTAATCATCAATTATGGGCTCTTTATAATAAATAAAAAATGTATAAAAGTTAAAACTTTCTATTTATAGATTATATCAGAACATACCTCAAGAAAGCCATATACGAAATCAGCACAACTATTTGCACACGCCCTCCTCACACGCTCATTCATCCATATCTCCACTGCACCGTATTCCGTAGCTCTTTTAAGTACTAAATCGCCTTCCTTTTAAGAACCACCAGAAAAACCGTATTACTACATTATGCAGGGCCAGTCCTAAGGTTTTTGATGCTGTAAAAATGCTAAAAACATGAGTTTATGCCTATTTTTTAAGCAAATGAAATCGTAGAGGCTGTAAGTACATAGTGCCCCACAACTATGAATAACCAACATTGGCATAAAAAGTAGGAATGGACGAAACATGCGATTACTATTAATTATAATAAAAGATACGATGGGGGACATAAAAACCAAAATTCCGAATTACAAAATATAGAATGATAAAAGGATAAAACCTGATGCTTCCTTCTTTTTCGATTTTCCTTTTTCCAAATTGAAATTAGCACAATAGAATCTTTACTTTAATATATGGAACTTAAAAGACAAGAAAAACTATAATTAATTTTAACTGAAATAGTAAATTACATCAATGTTAGGGTCATAGTAAGCAAAGGGCAAAACTCAGAAAGTTACAGGTCTAAAGACTAAAGTATAAATCTAATGAAGTAATGCAAACCTCAAAGTAAACAAAAGTTAAGAGAACAATGATAAATTTTAAAACTCATAATCTATGCTACTGAGCATTGCAAAGAACAAGTGTCAATAGGGCAATATCCCAATATGTTGTTATTGTTGGGTAGCGTGCTCCAATTATGCTGATACAGTGATGTGTTCATGTGCATTGCAAATCTCAATTTTCAATTTTTAAAATTCAATATGCAAGCAAGACTTGTTATCAAAAAATGTGTTCATATTCGTTTGTTTATTAAATAAATGAACGTAAACAAATTTTCACCATACGGTTCATGAACAATTTGTTGAACGTTTGATTAGTTACAGCCCTATGCAAGACTCATTATCAAAAAGAAAAAAGCTTTTTAGGCCTTAACCTAGTAAGTCAATAACCCACACCACCACATATGACACAACTTCATGATAATCAATTAGAAGTTCACTTCATGATAATCAATTCAGATTATTTTTTTTTTGGAAAAAGAATTAAAGATCCATAAATCCTACTATAACTTGCGCAACAACTCAACAAGTTCAATCAACAATAGAAATCGGCCATTCGGGATTTCCATCTTCAATTTTATGAATCTAATTTTATGACCGTTAATCAGTTGGAAATAGAATGTCATGCTTTGAAAATTGGAACAGTCGAGCTTTGAAGAACAACAGTAATCGGCTTTAGTTTTTGGAATGTTGGCGTTCATCGGTTTACGATGTGCATCCAGTATCCATCACTAGAGTTGGGTCTGGTTTTATAGTTAAAGCCCGGTTGTCCAATTCTCAAATTATAAACCCAAAACTAGTAATAGATACAATTTGATGCCTCCTTGGCTTTGATGTCGTGTGCGGCCGCACGGGCTGCACGTGGTCAAGGCCGGACCTGAGTCATTATGGTTGTTTTGGAATTTAGAGGCATTAACTACTAATTTGAGAAGTAGACAAACTATTTTGTCCACATTTCAAGTAGACCCAACAAATAACAAATTCTAAAGTGAAGGTCGATCAACACCAAATGAAATATGATATGTATTCAGATGTTTATATAAACCAAAAAAAGTGATAAATATGCAACCAATTGAAGCTCGTATGGTTGTTCAAGTCATTTTTTCTAAATAAACAAGACAGTTTCACTGAGGAATTTCTACAAACACATGGGTGGTACCTTTGAGTTGGGTTTCTTAGTCGAGGAAACTCTGTAAACAACACCAAAAGCTCCCTCACCCAACTTCTTTCCCAACACAAAATCATCCTGCCATCATCATAAAAAAGAACACAAAGACCCATAATTTCAATTAAAACATGTTAGAAACACAAGAACACCAATAAAAGATAAACATTTGAAACTAATAAGTAAATTTTATTAACCTTTTTGTATGTGGGTCTGAATAATCTTTCTACAAAGGCAAGAACAAACATATCCCAAAACCCAGGTGCCACACCAGGGGTAGCCCAAAGGTAAGAAAGTGTACCCAAAGCCAAAACAGCGCCAGGGATTGTAAGTGTTAAAGCATTTGATCTGGGTAATGTGCTTCTGTAAATCATATCACCACACTCCATCACTGTACAAGGAAGACCAACTCCAACACCCACAAAAACATTATGAACAAAATCAACCAATTCAACTCCAGCAACAATAGTTGAGCGTGAATTTGGCCTCAGGATAGTGAATTTGGACCCATGTGAGGTAGATTCTTGTCTGAACTTAAACTTTTTGCCTAAAAAGGGACAAGGAGGTAATGAATTGAGGGAGTGGAGCTTCACAGAGACAGATCCTAATCCTACTCCTCCTGCTGCTGCTAAAGTTGCCATATCCGTCACTTTATGTACGTATATATTTACATCTGCCTATATATATACTCTGTTTCAACACCTCTCTGGATTCTGTTTCTTCTGCAACACATATGATTTTGTTTGGGGAGATAAACCAAATTACGTTCTTAGGGAGTTTTTGAGGTATAAATTGGTGGAGAGAAACGAATAGAGTGGATGGAGTAATCTAAACCACAAATGGCATGTGGAGTTGCTATCATGTGCTGGGCTTCACGGTCAGTTTGGTTAGATCAAATCATCTTTGAGCTTATCTTTTATATCTTCCCAATCAGCATTTTCTTTTGAAGAACTTAGCCCAAATATAAGACTACAATTTAGAGTTTAGACCATCTCAAATGGGCTCGTTATACTTATACGTCATATTTTACACATAAAAAAAATGGAATTTTAAATAGTAAAACATATATAATATTCGTGAATATAAATACTTTTTTCTTATTTTGAAATTTATGTTTTTTTCTTTAATTTTTAATTTATAGAGTTTTTAAAGTCTTATTTATCTATACTATATTATAAAGCATTTGGTAATAACTCTTAACAACCATGTTTTATACGTGAAGTATTGTTTATTGATGCATATTACTTAAAATTCAAGATTACAAGTAAATTGTGCATAAGTATAAAGATGTATTGATAAAAAATCTAAAATATAATTATGATAATTATTGAGTTCTAACAAAATACTTAATTATTATTATTATTATAAAAAATATATTATTAAATAAAAAATAAATTACTTCGTTATTAAATCTAAATTAAATTATAACAAAAAAATTGAATTAAAGGAATTACACAAAAAACAAAGAACTTTTAAATAGTTAATTTGAAACTAATATTGATATACTTATTTTCGAAATTTTATGATATCTTCCAATTTATATTTTATTTAATTATAAAAACATTATCCATTTCTCAAAACCACATAAACATCGTATTAAAACAGTTACAGAGACGGAATAAAATGAAACATTAAAATCGAGATATATTTCGCTGCATTGCACGAGTACTCTTCTAGTATTATATTATAGGATGTCTCTTTCTTGTTCTTATTCTTAAGAAAGTCTATGAAAGGGCTTAGTTGATCCATGATTATGTTTCATCATTCGTTTCCTCTTCGTTTGTTTCAAGATATATATCGATCACTTCCAATGCTTTTTTTTTTCCTATCAAGATGTATTGATTCTGTTTATGGATTAACGAAAATGTGCAAAAGCTCTATTTAACTTTATCATTATATGTGTCTCTTCTCTTTTGTGAAAGGCATCCCACTCCCTTTGGCATCATCTACTAGTTCAGAACTTATTTTGAGAGACGTATTTCGTCTTTTGGGATGCCGCTAATAATCATCGAATAGCAAGTGTTTTTCCTTGTGTGGATCCTATTTCAGTGAGAACTTGATGAGTCGATCCACCTACACGTATTGCTTTGGCTTAAGATAAAGCAACTACTTTCAAAGTAATAGAAAGAAAAACGACTAGAGTGGGAAGTTAGAGTTGAAGAGGATTCCTCATTTCTTTCTCATATTCAAATTCATGCATGTGTCTTTCATCTCACTCGGCTCCTAAGTGATAAAAGAAAGAATAAGCATTCTTTCTTTTTTTTATTACCTTTCTCGCGTATATATAAAACTGAATCTATTCGATTTCATGTCTGTTGTTTTTACTGGAAAAACCTAGCCGATGTAAGTTGATGCTATTGTTGCTCTTTGTTAACCCTTATTGATGTTGTCGTAAGCTGCTCTTCATCGCCCTCACGGTTTGTTGTTGTTGTTATTTGCTCATGATGGTTGTCATGACCAACAAATAATAATAATAATAATAACCCATTACCGTTAATACATAATTAATTTTATTAATGGTAAGTAGAGTCGAATCCACAGGGATTTGGATGTGAATGTATTCAAGTTTTATGCTTTTCAGAAATACAAGACCGAAGATAGAATGAGGGGTGGATTTTTACTTGAAGAAAAAAGCGATATGATAGAATTAACTATCAAAGCAAATGCAATTTAAACCACACAAAAAAAAATAAGAAAACCAAATTATAAAGGATTCCAACACTACGTATATAACTATATGTTGGATTCAAGTCAAATGATTATCAATAGCTAAGGTACAATAGTTAAAATCAATTTCTAAACTGATCTTGGTCATTAACAAGCTCTAACGACCTGTTTCTTCATAGATGCTGAATAATAATAAAAACAAACATTTCAATAACATTCTTAATCAGTGAATGTTTTGGACAAGTTCTTAGCACTCATATGAGACTAACATCAAGAACGAAAGAAAAACCAGCTCCAATCATTTAACACGTAAGCTCGGCTAATTCAAATTGGAGCATACAATCTTGTAACAAAGTTTTGATAGCCTCATCAAAATCAAACATGCAATGTTACTTTTCCACTTAGATCGAAATCCCAAATTCAAATAATCGATTGGACACCAAACATTTCAACAATCATATGAATGGCCAATTCAAACAACGATAGCAATCATTTAAAACAAGAAATACCACTATTCTTTTGTATGTTTGCGTTCTTGGTCATGCGCCTTTTGATCCTTCTGCTCCTCTTCGGCTTCCAGGCCTGCAGTCGTTAAAAACCCCTCAACTTCTCTAGAAAGCGGTCAACCACTTGACCCTCTTTAATTTATTATGCATGAGTTTTGTTCTATGATTCAATAACGATGAACTTGATTTGAACATCAATCTGTTTGTTCAACGTGGAACAAAGTACAAGGTAAAACACTTGTCAGCTAGAGCATATTGGTTATTAAAAAAGAGGCTAACATTATAACAAATCCACACCACAAGAGCTCGTTCTTGTTTTTCATAATAGACGAGACCAGAAAAATCATAATCCTCACAGCAAAAACCATAACTTACCCGAAACCTTAAAACCGTTAACTTCTTTTTGATCTGTATTATCGTATTCGGTTTGAAAAATACTATTCATAAATTTATTTAACCTTAATGTTATCCTAACTTTTTGATAAAACTAATTATCTTTTTTTTTATTAACCTGTATATCCAACCCGTTATGCGAGCCGATTAATCTTAGTGCGACCACCTGCTTTGCAGATAGCCCAGAGTCGCCGCATTTGAACATCCGTGACCACAAGAGGATTTTTATTCCTACTTGAATTTAAACTTAGGACCTTCTGATACTTTTAACTTTTGTAGTCAAACTCAAACCAATCAAAAACTACCTTTGGTTAATTATCCTATTTTTACATGTCATGTCACCAGATAAATCAATAATTTTCGGGCATACCACTGCGGCACTGCCACAAATTATAGTTTCTGATCCCTGTGCATAAATGCAAATACCAGAATATTTTACATTATACTAAAATATTATAAAAAATACCAGGTTTTTTTCAGAAAGGGAATAATTCTGCAATTAAATTACAAAATATATTAATAAAAAAGTAGCAGTATCCGATATTAATTCACCAAAGGTTGGATATAATTAAATAATAGTAAATGTCATTAACTATACACCATCCCTAAATAAACTAGTAGTAGCATTTATCACCACCGCCGTCCACCACCGGCTGCCACCACCGTATCAAAATTTCCGTTAACTCCGGAGTGATTACGAAAACCCCCCTCACACGTCACCTCTTTACTTTTATTCTTTCATTTGAAAAACCAAATTTCAAGTCAGCTGTCGGATATCAACGGTGCATGTTTAAAGAGATCGTATGGGGCCCACAGTTGATCCAGTGGACATGGCCGCTTGGAGTTCAACCTCAACCACGGCTTTCCTTTTCCACTCCAATGAAGCAAGCTCACCGGACCAGGATGCAGATCCCGGCATAGCCCTTTGACGTTATCTCCGCCGAGCCCATGCTGGTTCCACCGGTGCTCCACCCCTTCAACATCTCCGGCGAACACTAGCAAGAATGGTGGCAACGAACCCAGTTCGTAGATCCGATATTTCTTTTGTATCTCCATCCATTTTTCAAGCTTCTCAGTTATCTTGTGCCTCCTCCATTTCATCAAATCGATAACCATTACGCCTGTGTTGAAGTAGCAGGGTTTTGTATCACGGTGGTTGAAGACGCCGGAGAAGTGTGGGTTTGACCAGAATTTAGGTGTGAAGTAGTGAGTGAAGTTGGCGTGGCAGTATTCCGGTGCTCCGAGGACGTGGGAGTTAAGGTTGATTTCCCAGAGGTTGACGACGTCGTCGACGACGATGAGGTCGGAGTCAAAGTAGATGACGCGGTGGACGGTGTCGGGGAGAAGGTGGGAGAGGTAGATACGGGCGTAGTTGAGTGGTTGGTCGAGTGCTCGGCGGATGGAGATGGAGATTTTGTTTTTGACTAGATCGGTGTGGAAGTGGTGGAGGTGGAATTTGAGGTAAGGGAAAGTGGTGGTGATTGTGTGGCGGAGGGAGGAGGAGAGACGATGGGTTGTGAGAAAATGGAAGATGATGTTTTCCGGGCAGGTGGCGTGTTGAACGACGGAGAATACACCGGCGATTGATCCACGGAGGTAGGTCGCATCTAGTGTCATTGCTATGTGAATTCGTGTGGTGTTGCATTCTTCCCCATTTCGAAATGCTGGCGCTTCTTGGAATTCCGGTAGGTCAGTGGCCAAGATGCGGTGGTGGAGGAGGAGGAGGAGGAGGACGGTGGTGGCTAGGAGGTGGAATGTCGGTGGCATGGTGGCGGTGGGATTTTTGAAAAACGGGAAATGATGAGTGTCATGTGTTGGTGTGGTGGGCTAAAGAAGGGAGGATGAGAAGTGAAGGGTAAAGATGGTAATTTGATGAAACACGTGGGCCCAGTGCCGTATTTAATAGGGTAGTTGTAGAGACAAGGATTGCAAAATTTGGGTTTTATTATAAGGACATTATACCATATTTTAATGGATAATTATATCATATTAATATTTTTACATATATGCAGATTTTGTTACAAAATATTTTTAAATAGAAATCATACTTTATGAAAAAGGCATAATGTTTATTGAAAAATCTTGCCGCTTTAATTATGTATTTAATTAAACAATTTTTAGTAATTATAAGTTTATAAAATTGATTTAATTCAATTTCATGTTTAATACGTTGGGTAAATTGTATGAAAATACAAGGTTTTTTGTTTGATTATTATTTTTGTAATATATATTCAAAATATGCAATTTGGCACATCGAATATAAAATAGGAATTGAATCAAAGTATGTTGTATTTTCATTGATTCTCATATGTAAATTAAACACTTGAATGTTTGATATATCGCTTTTATTATTGTTAAAATGTTCATTTTGGAAATACCTAAAAGAAAATAGAGATCCCACCAAAATACGTTCAATTTTCATACAATTTACCTTCGGTAAAAACATCTATATTATCGGATATGATTGAAGCTCTTAACGTTCATATTCATAATTTTTGATTCTCAGATACATTCAAAACGTAATTTTTATGATTTCATGGATAATATAAAAGTAGAGATGTTTATGGTGCGGCTTGTTGTAGTTTAGGACCAAACAACAAACTGCACGTGAAATACAGTGCAATGTGGTTGTAAGATTATGATTTCAATATAGGATTCAAGAATAATATGTTCATACAATAAAAAAAAAGGTTAGTATGTTAGAAATACATAAATTCAAAATAACTTAAGACAATTTAAAGGGTGTCATAATTAATTTAAGTACATTCAAAAAGTTGACTTGAAATTAAATTTGATGATAACATTTGATGCGTTTATATATTGTCTTTGTGTCTGTATACATACATATACATACATAACTTAAATAATAAATAAAAATTGCAGTGTGGTGTGCTTTGTTAATTCAAACCTGCAACCACACCATAAATTTCCTAAACCATGCTTTACAGTGCGGTCTAAGTGAACACTCATATTTAAGAGAATCTCCAACAAATTTGTCAAAATAGAGAATCAAAAATTAATTTTTTACAAAAAATTACATTTAACTTTAATAATTTCTCCGTTATGAAGATTACACCGTTAATTATGTTATAGAAATAAATAATATATTTAGTAAAATATTAATTTTTTTCTAAACATTTAATTTCAAATATTCATATTGGTGGCCAATGAAAATATTAAAATCAATTCTTTTTCCTATACAATCGTTTTTAAAGAGTTAGGGCCTGTTTACTTGTGGCTTAATGAGCTTACCGGATAAATGAGCTTATTCGCACAGCCATTTTAGGGTGTTTACTTCGGGCTTATTCACCCAGATATGGTCTTATTCGCACAGCAGGGTACCATCACTTGTCCCCATTAAGCCAAAAAAAAAAGACCTGCCTACCCTTCAACAAAACCCACGCCTCTCTTTTTTCCTCCAATAGTCGCTCCTTCTCCTCCAATCTTCTCCTCCAAGAACCCTAATCGGCCGAAATAGTTTCTCCTCAAATCAAGGCTTTCTTGGTAGTTTGCTGCTTGTTTTTTCTTCTGATTTGCTGCTTGATTTTGCTAGTTTGCTGCTCGATTTTGCTAGTTTGCTGCTCGATTTAGCTGCTCGATATTTGGGTTTGTTTGATGCATCGATTTTGCTAGTTTG